GGGGCGAGAACCGGTTCGGTGACGTCATATCGTCACCGCTACCGGCTCGGCCGAACCGGACCAAACGGGAGGAACCCACCACTGGCACAGAGGCCGAAAATGGGTTGTGCGGAGGGGGCAATAGGCGGGGGTTATCCCCGCAGCCTGGAACAGCTAATCATCAGTATTCCGGGAGGCTGATCCAACCACCAATCAACTGCTTGTGCTAAATCTGACCAGGCTGTTTGCTGTTTGTTACAAGGAGGAAAATTGCTGGGAGGCAGAGGCCGAAGTGTGGGGGCCGGCAGGCAGGGGTGAAATCCAGCAGGTTCTGATGGGTTGTGGAGAACCGGTAGCGGAAATTTTGAGCAGTTCGGAGAACCAGTAGTGGAAATTTTGAGAACCGGCAAATAGCACTTCTGGCTGGCCCCAGAATGGGGTAGGAATGGAGATTTTGCAGCATCCTTCCCCTGCCACACCCGCCAAGCCACGCCCACAGAACAAATAGTAAAAAAAATTGGATTTCACCACTGCCGGTGGGTGGGCGGGGCTTCAGCAACATTCGCTCTATAATACGCACAGACATTTCCACCCACTTTTTTGGAGAGGGTGGAGAGTGCATCTTATAGTCCGACAAATACGGTACCTAGCTATATCCTAAGAGAAACAAGGAGATGATCTTCATAGCAGGTCTGTGTAGAACCTCCATGGAGTACACATTGATCAGTGTTGGAGCCCAGACAACGACTGAGAGTGGTGAGGACAGCCGAGAAGATTATAGGAGATCTCACTTCCTGTTATTCAGGATACTGCTTATAACCGCTATGTGCTTAGAGCTCGAAGTATTGTTAGAGACCCCGCGGACCTACTTCACGGCCTATTTCTGTTGTTCCCCTCTGGGAGGAAATTTTGAAGTACCTATACAGGATTGCTATGGTAGATACTGTAACAGCTTTATTCCTTACACCATTCGTCTGTAAATTTGCAGGATTCTTTTTTTATCATGTATATGTATACATCCAAACTCGACTCTGTTGTTTCTCTGGGTTATAGGTAAGTAGATGCATTTTTTGTTAAAAAAAAATATTTTATTTTTTTGTCATGTTTCACTTTCAAAATTACATATACACCAGTATTTTTCTATTTACGTTGTTTTTGGATTAGCTACTTTGCTTGGCAGATTCCATCAATTTTGTACGTTCTCCTGGAATCCAGATATTATTTAAGGTTTAGAAAATGAATAAAGCATGATGGTGGGTCTTCACAACTGGTCATCCTCCATAGTTTCCGGATCTTCCGTGCTTCCCTTCTCATCCTTGAAGACTCTTTGCAGAGCAACCTTGTAAGATGCTCTGGGCTGATCTTTGCCCCTCTTCTTCCTCCCCACTAAGAAATAAAGGAGTGGGTTGATGCTGCTGTTGAGAGCCGTACATCCTATCCCAACGGTCATGAGGAGGGGATTATAGGAACCAAAATATTCAATGACATAAAAGACATCCATTGGGAGAGAAAACAGGAGGAAGAAGAGGAGAGCCAGAAAGATAGTGATGAGAAGTTTCCTTTGATTGCGTTGCATTTTAGTCCTCATATGAATCAAGAGAGTCACAGTGGACACAACCATGAGAGGCGTACAAAGTAAACCATTCACAATCAGCTGGTAAAGAAAACGAGAACTTCCAAAGCTCTTGGTTTGATACAGAATGAAGTGCACTGCAGAGAGTAGGAAGGAGAGGATCCAGATGAAGCTACAAACAAGGGTGGACAGATTTGGGGGACGATGGCAGCGATGCCAGAGAGGGAAAAGGACAGCCACGCACCGGTCCAGGCTGATGGCCGTCAGCAGAAACTGGCTGGCGGAATAAGTGAAGGAAAACAGCTCGAAAAATAAGAAGAAAAAAGTTTTGACAACGTACGTTCTTTGACCCAGGGACAACACCGTCACAAAGATTGCTGCAATAATGAGGGATGCGAGGACCCCAAAATCAGCGATGGAGAGATTCAGGATGAAAGTGGTGAAAGGATTCCTTTTAATGGAATAGGCCAGGAGATAAATTGTCCTTCCGTTTCCCACCAGGCCTAAAATGCAAATAAAGGCAATGACGCCATTATAAAGGTTTCGTGTTAAATTATTGGAGAGTTGCTCATATGGATAAGGATAAATTTCTGGTATTCCGGTAATATTGGAAGCATTTCCCACAAGTTTGGGATCACTCACAACAGGTTTAAGAGTATTCAGAATGAGTTCATCTTCTGCATTTATCCTGACAACAAAAAGAGACCAAAAGAGAATCAGTCCTTCTAACAGAAATGTATACAAACATACACACACACACACTGACAAACACGCATACACACAGTTGTTGTTTTTTTACTTACAGATATCTGATTTTTGACTATTTGATGGTAATTACAGTCCTAAAATCAATGTTTCCTACCAATCCCCATTATTATTCACTCTGGCTGAGGGGCAGAGTAGGGTTACTGGGTTAGGGTTAAAGTTAGGATTAGGATTAGGGCAAAGGACAGATGAATAATTAGAAAAGAGGAAAAGTGGGGGAAGGAAGGAGGATACAATCATTGTTGAATATCTGCATTTACATTCTTTGGAGAAGAAGGGATTGCAAGTGTGTATAGAGGCACATAATGGGAGATGCACATTGAAGAACACGTGGTAGGGCTACCTGTTCGACTTCAGTGGGTAACTGATTAAGGTGTTGTCAGTTGCATCCAGAGCTTATTAATTCTCATATAAATACTGTTAGAATGTATGAGAAAAGTGCTATGACACAGAGAAAAAATTGCTTAATAAAAGTCTGAAAAAACAAAACCGTTTTACCATATTTTTCAGACTGCAAGACACACCGGAGTATAAGAAGCACCAAGATTTTGAAGAGGTAAACAAGAAAAAAAAATGGTTTTGCCCTCCCCAGCCCCCAGGAGCAGTCTGCAGGCCTCCCAAACCCTCTGTGCGCTCCATTTTTGCGAAAAACGGGCCCGTTTTTCGCAAAAATGGATGCGCAAAGGCAGCGGTGAAATCCAAATTTTTTTACTACCGGTTCTGTGGGCGTGGCTTGGTGGGCATGGCAGGGGAAGGATACTGCAAAATCTCCATTCCCACCCCATTCCGGGGGAAGGATACTGCAAAATCTCCATTCCCACCCCACTCCGGGGGAAGGATATTGCAAAATCTCCATTCCCACCTCACTCGGGCTAGCCAGAGGTGATACTTGCCGGTTCTCCAAACTACTCAAAATTTCCACTACCGGTTCTCCTGAACCTGTCAGAACCTGCTGGATTTCACCCCTGCGCAGAGGGTTGGGAGGTCTGCAGAGTGCCCCTTGGGGGCTGGGGAGGGCAAAAACATGACGCACCGGGGGGGGGGGGGTTGAGAGGCCAAAAATGGGCTTGTTTGGTTTCAAGTGTTTGTCCTATCAACATGTTTGATTCCAGGGCACAATGTTAGTTTGGAGCACACCAAAGCTACATGATGCACAGCTGCAACTCTTCAAAAAATGTGCCTTTTATTGGCACTGTGTGTAGGGAAAAGATTCAGCAGCTTTGCCAAATTCTAAACAGGTATGTGGTATGTGCAGCTGGTCCAAGCAGGCTTGCAAATCCAATGTGAAATGTTGCAAAGACACAGGACCCAGGATTTACCCAGGCTAGTCTCACATAACATGCCTATTCAGGTCTAATGCCTAGTTATAAGTATCACATCTTCGTAATTTTTATTTATTTATTTTACTTCCATCCCATCTCTCCTTCAGGAAACCGACATTTTTGCCCTACGAAGACTCTGCTATATCTGGTGTCAGTGCCTTGGTCATTTTCAAATGGGGATGATCCACTCTCTGGGAAAATCTGTCCCTTGTCTACCCACTGCACTGAATAAAAAAATCAGCATTGGCTTTCTTGGGAGAAAGCCTGAAGTATCTGGATATTCCCCTCCAAAGTGGGTTAGGAGCAAACTGAGTTAGGTAGCTTCCTTCATCCACAAGCAGCTTTCTTACCAGCAGCTGCAATGGGCAGAGAAGGGGAGCAATTTTCCTTTTAGAGTGTTATGAAACAATTGGAAGACTAACTCCATTCCTGCAAAGAAAATATTTTATAATCTTACCCATCAGAGTATTCACGCCAAATGTGATAGATGCCAGGATCTCTATGACCATGATCTAAAGAAGAAATTAAAGTATAGAATAGAATAACAGAGTTGGAAGGGACCTTGGAGGTGTTCTAGTCCAACCCCCTGCTTAGGCAGGAAACCCTACACCACTTCAGACAAATGGTTATCCAACATCTTCTTAAACACTTCCAGTGTTGGAGCCTTCACAACTTCTGGAGGCAAGTTGTTCTACTGATTAATTGTTCCAACTGTCAGGAAATTTCTCCTTAGTTCTAAGTTGCTTCTCTCCTTGATTAGTTTCCACCCATTGCTTCTTGTCCTGCCCTCAGGTGCTTTGGAGAATAGCTCCCTCTTCTTTGGGGCAGCCCCTGAGATATTGGAAGACTGCTATCATGTCTTCCCTAATTCTTCTTTTCATTAAACTAGACCAGTTCCTGCAACCGTTCTTCATATGTTTTAGCCTCCAGTCCCCTAATCATCTTTCTTGCTCTTCTCTGAACTCTTTCTAGAGCCTCAACATCTTTTTTACACCGTGACAACCAAAACTGAATGCAGTATTCCAAATGTGGCCTTACCAAGGCATTATAAAGGTGTTGGTCACCACTTTTAAAGCACTCCATGGCATAGGACCTGGGTATTTGCGGGACCGCCTTCTGCCGCCGATTGCCTCCCACCGACCAGTACGCTCCCACAGAGAGGGACTCCTCAGGGTGCCGTCAGCCAGGCAATGTTGGCTGGCGACCCCCAGGGGGAGGGCCTTCTCTATGGCAACTCCCGCCCTCTGGAACGATTTGCCCCCGGAGATACGAAGGATACCAGATCTCCGGGCCTTTCGCCCTGCCCTAAAGACTTTTCTTTTCCATCAAGCAGGGCTGGTGTGACCCCGCCCCCTTTTTAAGCTCTTTTTAGCTTTTTAGCTTTTTAAGTGTAAATTGGGTTTTAATTGGATTGTTTTAAATTGTGGGCCAAAGCTGTATAATTCTTTTAATTGATTTTAAATTTTATATTGGTATGTTTTTATCTTTGGCTGTGCACCACCCTGAGTCCAATAGGAGAAGGGTGGTATATAAATTGAATAAACAAACAAACAAACAAACAAATAAATAAAAACTGGTATTACCACGTCACATGATCTTGATTCTATCCCTCTGTTTATACAGCCTAGAACTATTGGCTTTTTTGGCAGCTGCCGCACATGGCTGGCTCATATTTAAATGGTTATCCACTAGGACTCCAAGATCCCGCTCACAACTACTACTATTGAGCAAGGTACCACATATACGGTACCTGTGCATTTTGTTTTTCTTGCCTAAATGTGGAACTTTACTTTTTTCACTATTGAATTTCATTTTGTTAGATAGCGCCCAATGTTCAAATCTGTCAAGATCCTTCCGTATCTCAAGCCTATCTTCTAGAGTGTTGGCTATTCCTGCCAGCTTGGTGTCATCTGCAAATTTGATGAGTTCCCCATCTATCCCCTTGTCCAAGTCATTGATGAAAATGTTGAAGAGTACTAGTAAATAAAGTACTGGTAAAGTACTGGTAAAGTAAATAAAGATTGTGACGCAGCCAAGGCAGCAAAATATGTTTTAGAAAGTTTTTCCACACAGATTTGTGTCTTTCTGAATGGGAATATCTGTTTGCATAAATCAAATAATCCACAATGGATTTTTTTTCCTGTGGTCAGATAGTCATTGGCCAATACTCAGTTCCTATGGTTCTCTCTAAGCTGCCCCAGAATTATTTAACCTTATAATTAATTCAAAGAAGCTCATTTTGAAAAAGAAACAATTTTCCCCAGTCTTGTTTTTCCTTTGTTTTCAGAAATATTTCTGAGCCTCCAATCACATTTTTTTTTTCTTAAAGTGCTCTTATGGTACATGGAGGTTGACTTCATCTCCTATGTCCCTCCAGAGAAAAATTCTGGATGATCCTAGAGATAATGGCAGATATCGCTGTGTAAGCATTCTTGTTGTGGTCCGCCACCAGTCTACGGAGCTGACAGCGGAGTCAGACAGTGAGGAGGCTGGTGAGGACAATGGGCCAGTCCTGGAGTCAGGGGAAGGCCCGGATGAGGGCTCTGCATCAGAGGCAGAGATGGGGCCAGGGCCATCTGGGAGCGATGTACGGACTCCGGAGCCTCCAGAGACTGATAGTAGAGAGTTAGAGGAACAGGAGGAGCCTGTTCCTAGTGCACGTATGAGAAGGGCTGCCAGAAGGCAAGAGCAGCTAAAGCAAAAAGGACAACTCAGGAGTAAGGCCAGGAGATGATTGGCCCCTCCCAGAAGGCTTAAAAGACCAGCAACAGCTCTTGGGATCTTTGTAGGAAAGCAACGTTGCTACGTTTGTTTTTGTCAGCATCTCTTGCTTCTGAACTTTTTGCCAAGAAAAGACTTTCGCAGGGTGCCAAAGTAGACAAAGGTTGGTGATAAGGCCGAAGGACTGTTTATGAAGAATTTGTTTTGGACTTAATTTGGACTAAGCTGAGAATGAAGTAATTCTCAGTTGTTCTAATAAAATATGTTTATTTGGGACTGATTATGTCTGGTAATAACTACTTGGGCCTAGGTCACAACAATTCTTACATTCTCCACGAAAGCTATTTTATGAAAAATTCCCTCAGGAAATATTTTGTGAATACACCCATGGAATGCCTTCAAAGTGCCAACACAGTTCCTAACATCAGGAGTTGATGGGTGTCATGATTTGGTGCTAGAATTTCAATTTTCTTCTTTGAATTGATTATAAGGTTAAATAATTCTGGGGCGGAATTTCTGGCCTTCTGCCACCAGTAGCCTCTCACCGACCAGTATGCTCCCATAGAGAGGGGCTTCTTAGGGTGCCGTCGGTCAAACAGTGTTGACTGGCAGCCCCCAGGGGGAGAGCCTTCTCTGTGGGGGCACCCGCCATCTGGAACGAACTCCCCTCAGAGATACGGAGGATCCCGGATCTGCGCGCTTTCCACTGTGCCTTCAAAACATTCCTATTCCTAACCTCTTTTTAAAATTGTTTTTAAATTTTTAAAATTTTAAATTTGTCTTGTAAATGTGGGGTGTTTTAAATTTTGTTCTCTGGGCCAATTTATTTATTTATTTATTTTTCATATTTGTATACCGCCCTACTCCCGAAGGACTCAGGGCGGTGAACAGCCATAATAAATACAAATACATATAGAAGTTAAAAACTATTAAAAACAGATTAAGTAATTTGGCTCAAAGATTAAAACATCCAAATTTGTCTAAAAGAGGTCTAAACCCGATTTAAAAGCCAATTTAAAAAGCCAATTTAAAAAGGGAGAGTTAGGCCAGACCAGCTTGTTGGAATAGAAATGTTTTCAGGGCTCGGCGGAAAATGCGCAAGTCTTGGATGTTTCGTAACTCCGGGGGAAGCCCGTTCCAGATGGTAGGTGCCCCCACAGAAAAGGCTCTCCCCCTGGGGGCCATCAGTCAACATTGTTTGGCCGACGGCACCCTGAGGAGTCAATATTTGATTGTATTTTAATAGTTTTTTAACATTTGTATTGTATGTATTTTATCTTTTGGCTGTTCATGGCCCTGAGTCCTTCGGGAGTAGGGCAGTATACAAATTCAATAAATAATAATAATAATAATAATAATAATAATAATAATAATAATAATAATAATAATAATAATAATAATAATAATAATAATTTTGGAATAAACTCAGAAAGCATTATTAATCCCTTGAGGTTTTCATTATCATTCACAAAGATAAAGACATTGCATAAAGTATAGTTTTCATGCTTTTCATACCTCCTGAGTTATTAAATCCTTGCTCCATTGTGCAAAAAGTGTTGTCTGTTCGCTTAGAAAGGTTCAATTCATTGGTTAAGTCGGACAACCCGGGACACTGCAATTTAAGGGGAAATATAATTATTAAAAGAAAGTAAACTTGTGCATACTTCTGATTGTCAAAATGGCTGAAAATTTTGTGTTCTTGGGAAATTCAAAATCATTATTTTGTTGGAAGTAAAATCTGGTCCGGTTCTTATTCGAAGCTGGGAGAAAGATGCAGGGGAAATGCACTGAAGGCAGGCTGCAGTTGGAAAGGAGATCTCCATTTATTTAGTAGCCAGAAATAATAGCAATAACACTTAGACTTATATACCACTTTACAGTGCTCTATACCCCACTCTAAGCGGTTTACAGAGTCAGCATATTGTCCCCAACAATTTAGGTCCTCATTTTACCCACCTCGGAAGGGTGGAAGGCTGAGTCAACAACAGTGACAGCAGCATGTTTCTGGGATGGCTGACAAATTGGGGTTGAGAATAGATGGGCTTTTATACAATTTTGGGGGCTTTGTGATTGAGATGCCTGTTCATGTCCTTTAATATTTTAATGCCTGTTGCCAGATTCCTATGGGGTCATGTAGGGGTCATGACTGGCTCTACAGGCGAAAGGGGAAATGCAAATCCTAGGTGTTTTGTTTATTTGAGCTAATCTTGTCAGTTTTGGCTCATTGCCTATTGTGCTGCTTATTCAGAATTGCTTGCTGCCCTTTGTTTATGAATAGAGTGCCTTGGCTTTACAAAATATCCATTCACAAAGCCTAGCCTCTTCAGGTTTCTGCTTGAGGCTGTTTCCCTATGGTAGAAACCAGTGGTGAAATCCAATTTTTTTTACTATCGGTTCTGTGGGCATGGCTTGGTGGGCATGGTGTGGCTTGGTGGGCGTGGCAGAGGGAAGGATATTGCAAAATCTCCATTCCTACCCCACTCTGGGGCCAGCCAGAGATGGTATTTGTCGGTTCTCCGAACTACTCAAAATTTCCATTACCGGTTCTCTGAACTATTCAAAATTTCTGCTACCGGTTCTTCAGAACCTGTCAGAACCTTCTGGAAACAGATACAGGCAGGAAATGCTGGAAATGTAGTAATATCAGCTAATATAATAATAATAATAATAATAATAATAATAATAATAATAATAATAATAATATTTTTATTTCTATACCGCCCTTCTCCCGAACGACTCAGGGCAGTGTACAGCCTATTTAAAAACACAAGACAAAACATCAATTAAAATTTAAAATGATTAAATAAATTTGGCTCAATTAAAACCCCAAAAATTTAAAATACCCCAATTTAAAACTATTATGTTGATAGCCCGGCCTGGTGGAACAACAGGGTCTTCAGTGCGCAGCGAAACACCCGGAGGTCAGAGATCTTACGTATTTCCGGGGGCAGTTCATTCCATAGGGCTGGGGCTCCCACAGAGAAGGCCCTCCCCCTGGGTGTCGCCAGCCGACATAACTTGGCCGATGGCACCCTGAGGAGACCCTCTCTGTGGGAGCGGACTGGCCGGTGGGAGGCTATTGGTGGCAGAAGACTAATCTTGAACTAAACTAATCTTGAAAGTCTGACAAATTAATCTATTTTAATTCTTGGCTTGTCTTGGCTATATCTTTCTATGTGGCAATATTGCTACCACTTCCCTTTCGATGGCTCTCCATTTAGGAACAAAACTGCTGATTTGAGCTTTCTCTTCCACTTGTTTCCATGTCTATCTGTTATTAGCATCAGAGAAGAGGAAGAAGAAGAAGCCCTGAAAGCCAGAGATCATTTCCTCTCCTTTCTTTTTATATCAGAGAGAACCAAATGAGATCTCCAAGAACACTTCATCATTCCTGTACAGAATGTCCTGTCCATCTGAGTCTGCCACCAGCTCTGCTGGAAGCTGGCGGGCCACAACAAACATAAAATGAAGAATACAATGAAACCATAGCCATATATAACTCCATAGAAATCACCTTAAAATCACCGCCATAGAAGGTCTCAAAAGTAAGGACATATTTTTGCAATTATTTTTGCAATAATATAAAATGAGTAATCACTTGGGCAGAATGTAGGGGAGAAAGAGCAGGGAAAGGGTAAACAACAGAAACCCCAACCAATAAAAAAAGAGAAGAAGATTTGGTAGGACGGAAGACAATTATTGATTATTTGTGCTCCCTATGAGCTGCAAAATCTAATCAAGGAGTACAGTGGCACAATGCATGATATATCCAGAGAAGGTTCTCCAGAATAAAATGAGGAGCTTAGAGTGTGGTCATGGGTGGGGGAAAAAGTTCAGTAGAAGAGAACCAGAAAAGGACATTGTCACAAATTTTCCGACAAACATTTTTTAAAAAATTGATCCTGTGCTTATAATTTAGTGGTACAAGATGTACTGTGCTTATAATTTAGTAGTACAAGAGGCCTCCTATAGTGGATGCATCAGAAAGCTCCACACAGTCTCCAAACAGAACTCAGTTTTTGAGACTCATCCTGAACTGGGAGTCATTTTCATATACCTTGTGGTAAATTTTTGTTTTGTTTTGTTTTGCTAAGGACATACTTGTCAGTATATAAGAATTTATAAACTGGAATAGCCATAGCTTCAAGGTGTTGGTTCTCATCTTTAAAGCGGTCCATGGCTTAGGGCCAGGGTATTTACAAGACCACCTTCTGCTACCGATAACCTCCCACCGGCCAATACGCTCTCACAGAGAGGGCCTCCTCAGGGTGCCGTCGGTCAAGCAATGTCGGCTGGCGGCCCCCAGGGGGGAGAGCCTTCTCTGTGGGGGCACCCGCCCTCTGGAATGAGCTCCCTCCCGGAATACGACTGATCCCGGATCTCCGCACTTTCCGTAAGGCCCTGAAGACATTTTTATTTCAGCAAGCCGGCCTGGCCTGAATAGGTTTTTTATGGGTTAGTTTTTAATTTTATAGCTTTGGGGTTTTAAATTGGGGGCCGATTGATTTAATTTATTTTAGCTATCTTAACTTTTATATTGTATGTTATTTTAATTTCGGCTGTTCACCGCCCTGAGTCCCTAGGGGGAGAAGGGCGCTATATAAATTCAAATATAAATAAATAAATAAATAAATAAAATAACAACAAGTCAGCCAATGGGAACTGTTTGGTGACTGAAAGCTATGTCAGACAGCTTGGAGTCTGGGCTTAGTTTAACTGTTCTGTGTATATAAGCTTGCTTCTAATTCTAGTTCTTGCTTCTACTCCTTGTACTTGCTACCATGTTACAAGAGCTGCATGGGTATTGTATACATGCATGATGTTTTATATTATTGTATATAAAGAAGTTTCTTCTCTAAAGGAATCCTGCTGAATTCTTTACTTGTGTGCTGGCTGGATAGCTACAGATTCTGACAGTACCTGGTGATGATGTGCAAGAATTCTTGGTGAGAATCAATAAATCTCTTATGAAAATCCAAGGATGTCCAGAAAGTTAGACTAGAAGAAGCTTTAAGATTCTGGAAGCAGGAATGATCCCGAGGGGTGGGGGAGCACTCGTTGATTGTTTGTATTCTGTATATTGTTATATATTATATATTATGATTCATGTATGTTATGTATGTTAATTTCTTTTTTTTAAATATGTTAATAATAAAAAAATATGAAAAAAAAAAAAGAAAGTTAGACTACTTTGATGAATCCAGTCTGGACTATATTTGACGTAGCTGCGTTACAGCAGCAGAATTTATTTAGCAAAAGGAAGGGATTTCCACATTAAGTAAAAGAGGAGCTTAATTTACATTTTGCTGTAAACCAAGAACGAGAAAGCATTTCTAAAACTCTGTGGAAAGGAAACATTGAAAAACTGAATATTAACTTGGAGAAGGAGAAAAAAGAAATATCAAATTGAAAATCAGTCTATCAAGCAGTCAAAATATATTTAGAGTCCAAGACCAAATATAATGAAAAGACAAGCTATCAAATACAATAACTATTAAGAAGGCATTTTAGTCTTTGAAATCTTAGCAGCTATCAGTTATTAGGAGGAGAATAAAAGCTAATGGCTTCTGCTGTAGCTCTTGAAAATATATTTAAATGATGAGCTTGCCATTGTTCTCCAAGGATGGATGTCTTGTCATTGATCAGCAAGATTAACATCAGTGAGGCAATCCTAACAAGAAGCCCAAACTATGAATATTAATGCTAACACTAATCTTCATTGCGCGTTTCCCCTTTTCTAATCAAAACACCAGCAAGGCAAGTCAATAACTTAAAAAAAAAAAGTTTTTTTTAAAAAAAATTGAGAGATAATCTTTTAGAAAAATAGCAGCTAACAATTAATAGCATGAGAATAGAATTCATAATAGATATATTAAGATTTATTGGAATCAGAGATTAGAAGATTGGAGTCACACCATTCTTTGAAAAAAATTGCTGCTAATTTGAGTTCTGTTGTTTGCCGACGATTTGCTGATCCCATCCTGATCGTGCCCCAGTCCTATCCTGAACTCAGAGAGGAGTGTTCTGCAAATAACAACTATCACAACATGAACTCTATCTTTACTGTTGACGTACCTGGTGATGATAGGAAGAATCTCGGAGGTCTCTTTCAGAATCTAAGGATCAGATCTTTTTCAGTGAATTCCGTTGGGTTTTGTTTGATGCAGTTAGTTCCTTCTTCAGAAAAAGGGAATTGAGCTGGTCATCAGCAGCTGCAGACTTTCTCAGAAGAAAAGAACTTACGTCATATGTGTCTGTGACTTTTGCAACTGAACATTTTAACTCACATGCAAGATGCACAAGAAATACTGAAAGATCATATCAAAAGGCTGTACGAATTTTAAGGTGATGACCTGAATGACTTGAATGACCTCAATCTACCTCTTATTAATCAGACCCTAAACGACTGTACAACAGAACCAATGCATACAAACATGTACAATGCCGTTACTAATCTGGGATTGGATCAACTAGTATCAAACAACAACTGTTTTGATCTCACCTTCTGCAATAATTTAAACTCAATTTATGTTCTACAAATAAATGAACCCTTTTCCAACAGTGACCACAGCATGATTGACTTTTGTCTCAATTTATGCCCTTACAAAGACGATCATAATGACAGAATCCCAAAGTATAACTTTAGAAAGGTCAACTACGATCTCATAACTGACGACCTCTCATCTCTTGATTGGCAAATTCTGTTCGCTGGCTGCAACACTGCTGAAGACCATTATAACATTTTTTTTGCATGAAGTCAAAAGAATCATCAAACTATACTTACTTACGAGACCGCCTTCTGCCACCAATAGCCTCCCACCGGCCAGTACGCTCACACAGAGTGGGCCTCCTCAGGGTGCCGTCCGCCAGACAATGTCGGCTGGCGACCCCCAGGGGGAGAGCCTTCTCTGTGACGGTGCCCACCCTCTGGAACAACCTCCCCCCCAGAGTTACGTACAATAACAGACCTCCGGATTTTTCGTCGGGCCCTGAAAACCTATTTATTTCAACTAGCTGGACTGGCTTGAGTTAAATTTTAAATTGATTTTAAATTGGGTTGTTTTAATTTACGGCCAAAATATTTAATTATTTTAATACTGTTTTTTAAATTTTGTATGCTCTGTTTTTTTACTTTGGCTGTTCACTGCCCTGAGTCCTATTTGGAGAAGGGCGGTATAGAAATGGAAACAAATAAATAAAAATAAAATAAATAAATAAATATACGTACCACTAATAACCCCCAAAACCAGGGAAAATAACAATAAGAAAGCTTCATACCAAAAAAAAACACAACAACCCAACCTCTTTGGCACAAAAACAAAACTGGCCATGTAGCTAACTTCAAAAGTCGCTACAAAACCTTATGCTGATAGATAAAGGCAGAATGCATCAGTTATCACAACAAACAAGAAGAAAACCTACTATGCACGAAATCCACCCAGTCCTTCTATAATTTTGCAAACAACAAACTTATAAGACTCAAGATCCATCCCACCACTAAAATGGGAAAGACTGTAATGATGAAACTGTTAAGGCCAACCTCTTCAACACGTTCTTCAGTTCAGTCTTTGTAAACAGCAACAGCTCATGCCCCACATTTCCCAATTGTACCACAACTAATTACAATGATCTACTACATGTCGATTTTACAGAAGATGCCGTTGAAAAGGCATTACACAACATAAAAACATGTCTATCGATTGGCCCTGATGGATTGTGTGCCTACTTCTTAAAAAAGCTCTCAACCACCATAGCAGAACCTCCTAGCATAATTTAAGAAATATCTTTCAGAACCAGCTCCTTGCCTAACTTAGGATCACTAGCCATGGTCATCCCTATCTTCAAAAAGGGTGACCCCACCCTAGATGAAAATTACAGACCAATCTCATTATGTTGCGTCACATGCAAAGTCATGGAATCAATCATAAATCAATCCATTGCCCTCTACTTAGAGACTAACAACCTACTCTCTAACAAGCAGTTTGGCTTCAGAAAAAAATTGTCCTGCAATCTGCAACTCTTACACTGCGAAAACATATGGACTTCACAACTATACCAGGGTAAAGCAATAGATGCAATTTATATAGACTTCTGTAGAACCTTCAATTCAGTGGTACATGACAAACTACTTCTAAAACTAAAACCTTATGGCATTTCCAGATCCCTGCATAAGTGGATAGCTGTGTTCCTATCAAACAGGCAACAAGTAGTCAAATAGGGAACACCCTATCAAATTCTGCACCTGTTAACAGCAGTGTCCCCCAAGGTAGTGTTTTAGGACCAACACTCTTTATACTTTACATAAATGACCTTTGCGATCATATTATAAGCAACTGCGTTCTCTTAGCTGATGATGTAAAACTATTCTACAGCACTGACAATGCTGCTACCCTTCAAAAAGACCTCAACTATGTGTCAGAATGGTCAAACAATTGGCAACTCCAAACCTCAACCAACAAATGCTCTGTCTTACACATTGGCAAAAAAATCAGAACACAAAATACAAGCTGGATGGATATGAGCTAACAGACGACCCTCACTCTGTCAAAGACCTTGGAGTACTCATCTCAAATGATCTAAGTGCCAGAGCTCAGTTTAACAGCATTGCTAAAAAAGCATTAAGAGTTGTTAACCTAATCTTTCATAGCTTCTTCTCCGGTAATATTGAACTGCAAACTAGGGCATATAAAACTTTTGCCAGACCAATTCTTTCATACAGCTCATCTCTCTGGAACCCACACTGCATATCGGACATTAATACAATCGAACGTGTCACTGCGTTATTTTATTTACCAGCTGAGCTCATTATTTCTGGACGTCAGACTCTCCGTAGCTTTGCCAACTTCTTATCAGTAAGCTACGTGTTTTCCGTATCCACCCACATTCCTTCACTTGCTCTTCACACACTCTTTCCTTTGTTCTCTTTCCAGCAAGGTCCAGCTGAAAGATAGCCGGCCCGAATTACTTTCAAAAATGTAACAATTAACTTTTCTTAGTTAGTGAGGTGTTTTATTTTCTTTATAACAAATAAATGAGTTTTATTAGAAACCTTCCTTCGCGTTTCTTTTCAGATTATTGAAACAAGGATAAGCCACGATCCATCTCCTCCAAACCAGGGTAATTAGTCCCAGAGCCAAACATGGATTAAATAAATGCCCTGACATTCTGGTAGCACGAGGATGGTCTGATTTATGGCTTTTCCCTTGTGTTTTTGTTACTTCTGATAAGAGCGCATAGGCAATTAGTTTTTTAGCTACTGAGGTACGCTAATTATATTGCTGAGATGCCGAAACAGAAGTAAAACAAATACAAAATGTATTTTGCTGAGAAGGTGGCAGAAAGGAGGTTTCCAGATTTCCAGCCCCTTACTACAGCCACCGCCTGGAACAAGAAAAAAGCCGTGGGAACAGAAATGGAGACAGATAAGACAGAAGCTGTGTTTTGAAGATGATGATTTACGACTGAGGTCAGTAACATTTTCTTCTGATCTTCCAAGCTCTGAAAAAGTCTCCAGAACCTTCTGAATTTGTAACACTCGGTGCAAGGACTGCTGAGCAAAATTACTCCCACGCAGAGAGAGAAACAATTCATTATTCTCCTCGAAGCTCTAAGCTCACCCTGGATGAGCTAGCCATGAAAGCCTACCGTATAAAACTCTATGAACAGCAGCTATCCCAAGCAAAAATGGCTATATATGCTTGAGCAAGATATGGGAGATAACTTAAATTTTTCAAAAAGCGCCATATTGTCTTCTTGCTCAGAGCCAAAGACATTCCCCCTGGTGGATCCTGTGTCAGGCCAATTAAGGCAAAGAGCACTGCATACGTCACATGAAAGTCTCCCTGATCAAGTTACACATGTCTTACATAACCACTCCTACTCTAAAGCATACAATGCCCCGTATGCAAAGCTGCCCGAAGCTAAAGGTGCAGCACCATCTGCTGGCAAAAGTAATTTACTACAGGAAGCTGAAATGCCACAAGTGTTTCCACAGGCCCCAAACTCAAACACCCCCTGGTGGTGATGGTGCCCTTTTAGATGGAACACAGCAAAGGCAAATGATTGCATCTCCAGCAGGCCACGCCAATATTGCAGCTCAAGCACAAATGGCAACTGGAATACAGCAGATTCCAGTGCATCAGCCACAGCAGCTACAAATGCCTGCATATGTGCCCCAGCCACAAGTGCAAATAGGGCCACCTCCTGGCCCACCTCCAATGGCACAACCAAGACCATTTTTAGGTCCACAACAGGCACAGCAAATACCACAGGCATTTCTGCCAGCACAGCCAGCATACCAAGTGCAGGCTCCTCACCAGGCATTTTCTGTCTCTCCACTAACTGGTGAGTCAAAACTAAAAATGTCAGGACACAATTACAAAGCCTGGGTCAGTGAGATTACACTATTGCTTCTTAGAGAAGGCAGTCACTGTATGGTATTTAACCCACCTGCTCAACCTTGGACTTATGCAATAAGAGATTTAGAGATAAGGGCTCGCACAACATTATTGATGTCCATGGATACTGAACTGCAGGTCACTTTTCCACCAAATACAACAGCCCGTCAAATTTGGGCTGAATTGGAAAATTGCTACAGGCCTATCTCAATTGAATCTTCATGTTTACTCATGTCTGAACTCCACGGTTCGAGATTGAAACCCGGTGAACAAATTGGAGGACATTTGACCAAACTGAAAGGTCTGAGAACAGAATTGAGAGAAAGAGGCCATAACATTGAAGATATTCAAATGATCAGCATCATTATTAACTCTTTGAATTATGAATGGAAAGATGCTGTTACAAAGATTAACCAAGTCCCAATTGCTCAACGCACAGTGGACAATGTCTGTAGACTTTTAATTGAAGAAGAGGCATTCATGCTAGCCACACCACATTTGAGAGGACCACCCGCATCAAGAGCTCCAGCTAGACGCCCCTTCCGAGGAAGGACCTACGCTCCAAGGACGCCAAGATGCTACACCTGCAATCGTGTGGGACATGCCACCCGGGATTGTCCCCAACGAGTTCCAGCTCCTGTCACGTACCAGCCCAGAGGAACAGATTCCAGAGGCAGAGGCAGAGACGGAAGACAAGGTTGTTGTGGTCCCCGGCGTGATCCACAAACTCCACTCGCCACACTGGCTTTAACCAAT